AGACCGTACATTAATTATACTGCTTTGCCAGCTATGTTGTATCAAGACATGATCGATTTGATTTCGTGTTTGCGAATCCGGTGATGTCCAAGTATATTTATGAATATCCTTATGTTTAAACGTCGTACTTTTAATTATCAGGTTTTTCGAGATGGCAAAATTTATCAGACGGATCCCATTATCATTACTATATTCGTGCAAACTTTCTTTACCAATCGTCGGAATATAAACTTCTTCCCTTCCTACCTTTGCGTTCGCGTCACCTATAATTATTTTCATGTAGTTTCGCGGTAGTTTGACAACAAAGGTGAACTAAATTCCCTATTCAGAGTATCCATCTGTTGATTGTGTCCACATTAAATACCAGCAATCGTAGGAGTGGATTCCGACGTCCAATGCCGTTTATATGACGAGTTTTTTTTTTATTTATCTTTATTTCAGTAAGCAAGTGTTATTTTTAGGGATATAAATCTTATAATTTAGGGATATAAATCTCTCCCTTGCTTAAGCTAAGCATTGTAATCAATATCTGTTCCCGGGTCTTACCTACCCTCTCCAAACTGCGCCCCTCACAAAGCTGCGTCCTGCCATACTTAACGTCATCGACACTATGATTCGCCGGAGTCATTGGCAGCGGATTAATCCTTCATCAGTTCATGTTTGACTCTGTGGTGACGGGGCGTTATAAGGAGGGAGTTGTTGGGGGCATTTTCCAAACACATGTGCTGGTGTTTCTGGCTCTCTGTCGCTTTTGCGACAGAGGGACCCAACTTCTCTTAACTTTCCGCTGCCAACTGGAACTCCACGTAGGGGGGCATAATTAATATTTAGTTTCAAGCCATTTGACCATTCAGACCCAGAAAGTACTTGCTTATCGTACACGTATTTATTGGCTTTCGGGGTCTCTTATTTCGAATACCCCAATCAACCCCCAATCTCTCGGCACATTCAACAACCTCAGCCGAATAATCAAAAATCGATTGGAAAAGGGCATCGGGCACATTGGAAGTCGCTGAGCAATGGACCAATGTTGTATAGGAGCCTCCCATTGGCAGCGGATTAATCCTGGGAGCGTATAACATCGCCGTGGAAGTATTCATAGGGAGGTCAACAACTAGGAAAGTCGGCGATGATTTTGGATCCAACCGTGAGATATGAGACCAATGACGTCGATCAGGCAAGCAAAGCGGAAAGGGAGAAGAAACAGACGTATGAGAAATGCATCCCTTTCCTTAGTATAAAATTCCGCGAGATTTTCGGGCCGAGAGAGTTCCACTTGAGAGGCCTTTTGTTCAGAGCTCGCGGAACGCTACCTAACTCAACAAGGAGCTTCATGGAGGGCCTTGGTGTCGACAAAAAGGACGTGGTAAAGTTGGCGCAGAATATAATCCTCGACTCCCTAGGAATCATCCACCACCAGGTGCGGATATAGGGAGAGAGTTTGTTCATAGGGGGGGGGGGTGAGAGGCATGCGTGTGTTACAGCATTTTTATATTATTATTTATTGAACACTTCCACTGTACTTTGTGTATTTTTATGAATTAGGTTAGAAAGAGAGAGGAGAGAATATGAGGAGTGGGAAAAATGTATAAGGGGAGAGAAGGAAGAGAAAGGGTATAGAATGATAATAAATGAATGAAAGAAATAGTAAAAAAATAAGAAAAATAGACAAAATGGAAATATTTATAGAAAAATAAAATATTAATAAAAAAAAAATAAAAAAAAAAAAAAATATATATATATATATATATATATATATATATATATATATATATATATATATTGTTTTCTATGATCATACATATTGTTAATCCTATATAATTGTATATTATTTTTAAAAATTGTTTAATAAGTATTTATTGTTTATATTATGTAAAAGTATGCTGTGTTTTTAGCAACCCAATGTAATTGGGCAGCACCATTTTATGATAATAAAGTGATTCTCCCTCTCTTTAGATGTATCTTTGTATATATATATATATATTTATAGAAAATAGAACTTTATTCTGGGACTAAGTCCCCTTAGAATAACAAAGATGAATTAATACAAAATAAAATACAAATCTGCCCAAAAACTAACTTATAAAAATTTTAACATTATATACATTATTTAAAAAGTAATATGTAACCACTAAGAAATAAACCAAAAAAAAGATATATTTACATGTATATAAATGAACATACAACCTTCTCAAAATTACTTATTATTGTAATGAGAAAGAAACAAAAGAAATTACATATCTATATATAAATAACTGCACAATTTATAAACAATAGGCTATCTAATAGAAAAATAATTTAATAAAAAATGTAATAATATTTACAGTGATTCATATAATAATAAGCAGACACTATGATAAAATAAAATCTAAGGATTAGTTGAGGTATAAAGGTAAAAAAAAGGAACTATATATACGTACTTACTCATATTGGTACACAGAGAGACAAAAAGTATAAAATATAAACATATATACCCGAAAGAAAAAGCACAACCTGAGGTGAAGAGAAACACAAATAAATAATAAAAATAATAGTCAAAGATCATTGCTGTTTTATGTTAAAACTTAAACAGTAGGCATCACCATTTACTTCTCACAAATTCAGTTCATAAAATGAAATTTATGGTTCCGAATATAAACGTTTGGGATGTAAGGAGATATTGAATAAGGAGGTATTTGAAGGTTGACAGTGAAGATGCATGACGGATGTTATGTGGCAAAGAATTCCAGTAAGCGACGGAGCGGGCTAAGAAGGAACGTTCATAGGTTTTTGTCTTGTGGAATGGAATATGGAGGTCAGAATCACGGAATCTCGTTTTTATTGAGTGGACTAAAGGTTTTGGCTGCAAGAGACAGTAGATATAAGAAGGATGCTGGGAGTTGATCGTTTGATATAAGAAATTTCCAAGGAAGTATAGGCAGCGGGAAGAGGGGAAGAGCCAGTTTGACTCGGCATATAGGTGGGACACATGAGACCATCTCGAAGTGCCGAAGACAAACATTATATTAGTGCCTTACAGACTGAAAATAATTTTTATGATCGAACATATTCACATAAATCAATTTAAGTGCATAAATAAAATTATATAATATTATTGAAGGGAAGAATGGCTGAGGTGATCAGTAAAAAACAAAACAAAAAATATTGTTCTCTTCAATTATTCACTGCAGTCAACCATTAATCTACAATTATAAACACTATTATGTTTTATAAAAATTGAAAAAAGGCAAACAGTTGAAAGCATTTTTGATCTACAGTTAAAAAACATATAATGACCAAGCAGCGTAATTTCAACCTAAGAACAACACTTGATAAAGAAATATTGCAAAACACTTATAACAAATTTGTTTGAAAATGGATAAATTCCTAAGCCCAGCTGTGAGCTCATCCATATCATCGGATCCATCTTTACGATGGGCGAAATGATGTCATCAATAAGCTCATCGTTGAGAGTTTAGAAACTTGTCCAAAATTACAACCACCAGATTAATACAAGAATGTTAAAATATTATTAAAGTAAAAAGTGTTCTATGCATAAAAAATAATTTTCAGTTTTAAGTAGTTAAAAAACAATTTTTAAGATTAAGCATTCGGCTAATATTAAAAATAAATTTAAAGGTTATCAATTTCAAGCTCGAACAATGCCAAATTGTATACATAAAACTTTTCATTTATTTCCAGATTTGTCATTAAAGGAATTGAATTCGTTTTAAAACGAATAAGACTGTTATCAAACGAATAGGTCTTACACCATGAATCGTTGCTTTGTTCTATAAACTATTTTTTTCAACTGTTCTCAAGAACCGTTGTTTGTTGTTAACGAACAGTTCATTTACGTTTTTAAAAAGTAGCAGAAACGCCCACCTTTTTTTTTTTTGTTCCTCCCCTTCCTCGCCGTTAAGGCTATGCGGGGTTTTCCCCGGGCCAGGGAGTGTGGGGGGATTTAAAAGACTCTCTCGGCACCGGGACGTGAACTCGTGACTATTTTTATATCTTTAGATTCATATGTCAGGTTGCTAGGCAACAGCTGTGCTGTGCACACGCTTTAGCCCATTCGGCAACCCCGCCCACGAGAAACGCCCACCTGTATCCCTTGAACACTTTACCAGTGGTAAGTGTTCAAGGGATAGATTGAATCAAAGGTGGAAGGATTGCGTTAAGACTGATCTGGTGGAGTTGGATTTGGATTGTGGTCAGTGCATTTCTCTTTCTTGATTTTAATATGAAGCAATAGGCTATTAGCCGATTTCGGATGAAATAGAGGGCGGCTTGTAATATATCATCCGAGCGCCCAAAACACAGCCGACGGCCCTGTTAGCATCTTTTTTCTTCCTCCCATTTTTACGGTGTGTTTCTCAGGTCAGGGATGAATGCGGGGCATTAATGCCAGTTCGCGTCGTGATTTGACCTCATAAACTTCAGTTTATCCCACATTGCTGTGAGCAACATATGTTTTACACACCGTTCTGGCATCTGTGCCGGATACGTATCCTGGAGAGTTTAATTAGACCCTTCCTCCATATTAATCTTTCTGATTAATTTTCTCATTATTTTGGGACTCCCTTAAGACGATTGAAGCCATATAGAAATCTCGCTCTCCGTCCACAAAACGTATCAGAAAAGAAGGTTTTTTTTTTTTTATGATTGTCGCATTCCCTGCTTAATTATTTGCTATCTGTTGTGAAAGATCTAATTCGAGGTGAGGTATAATTATTGGTTGGGCATGAACGCTGATCAAACACCTTATATATAACCATTTGTGTAAAAACAAATCTTTATTAAGTACTGAGGGAAGATTTTTCTCGGGTTGTGATGATATAGTTAATAAGATATTTCTTTATGATTTCCTTTCCGATACAAATAGAATACACAGGCGTCTGCTGTTAGTGTCAATGAAACAAGTTTACAAAAGATTAATGTTTAATAATGATATGAATCATTGTTTTTAATAACACCAATTTACTATTTTCTCTGGTCTGTAGGCCAAGCAGATTTTCGAATCTCGTTGTTACAGTGAATATAAACCTTGTTCGCCCATTCAATTTTCAATTGGATACTAACGTTCAATTGATTCTTAACAATAATTAAGTAATTCTTCTTGCAATAATGGCAACCAATACTTTGAGTGCAGCATTTAGAAAAATCGACGTTGATCAGTATAATGAAGACAACTATAGGGAAGATGAAGTAGCTGATTCACAATCTCCTCCAGCAGCTCCAGATGAGAATGAAATCACACAGTTATTGAATCAGTAAGATTAGTTTACTTAACGAATTAATTATTCATTTATTTTTAGAAGGTATCTTTGTATTTTAATTTTAGATAGTCCATTTTCTATCCATGTCTTATTCTATGACAGTTATTTCGTTTTATGAATAAAAGTTTGTATGAACACATAAATTTTTATGATTTATTGTTTCATTAACTGTCTGATTCAGAGGGGCATTAGTCATGGGAATAACATTAATAAGGGCGGATTAGTGGAATTGGCAGTTAAGATAAGAGAGTGTCACCTATATATGCTTCATCCCCAATCCTTTTTACCACCATATCTGTACCAATTAATTTTTTCTTTCCGGATTGAAATTGAAGTTAAAACTATCTTATATTTACCATTTTTTTTTTTATTTATTGAAGTCTTATTTAATTGTGAATCCTCAAACACCCGTCAGTGATCAGTGAGTTTGTAAATTAAGTTCTTAGCACTGTTAAAATAGGCTAGTCTATGTTGATTCAGTGAGAGCAGATGAGAATTAAATGTGTTTATCGCAAGTAAAATCATTGGTCTTGCCTTTTGGTTGTATGCAGGACTTAACATGCTTATCTCCAAGCATATTTATTAAATAAAAGAATAATATATTAGGTAAAGTGAAAAATCATTCTCTATCTCTTCAGATTAGTAATTTGCACATACTGGTAAATTGGCAGTACTTTTTAAGTTCACAATATCCTCATTCCTTAAAGTTTTCTATATTTCATTGTTCGTATTTATTTTCCAGACTCCATGAACAAAATTTGCATCGCAGATTCTCCTTACTATTTTTCTTTCAAAAATCTTTAGTTTATTTCTGTCTGCAGCAGAGATGTACCAAGTCTTTATTTAGGTAACTACGGGCCTAAACTAAAACTGAAACAGAGTATTGTAAAACTTCATTTTTGTCTTCCTAAACAACAGTTATGAGTGAAACAAATTTAGATTTGCAAAATATTCACAATTCCCTAGCATAATTCTTCTTTCAATCTCTGGATTTAATTTGTTTTTGTTATTTAAAAATGAACCTAGATAATGAAAAAATAATTTTATTCTGGAACTACAGTCCCCTAAGAATAAAGAACTGAGTTACATGATTATGAATCTTAGGCTGTGGTAACATTGGATCTGTAAATTGTAAGGAAACAGGTTATTCATTGTCCATTAGAAAAACATACAACTACCATGGCAACATTATTTCTAATTGATCTCTGATTTCTAATTTATTCGTCATTTCATATTTAATATTGTCCAATATATGTAATAAATAATAGTTTAGTTTTATCGAAATTGTTTTTTCATTTTTTCCTATTGATAAATATTAATTTCTTCTTCTTCTCTCACTATCTCCTGTGTGCTGCTAAGCGTGGAGTAGCTGCCTCTGACCAGCTTGTCCAATGGTCCCTGTCCTGTGCAAGCCTTCTCATCTCCGGCATGGTGCTTCCTCTCGCTGTGCCAATTCTCCCAATCAGGTCTGCATACATAAGCCTTGGCCTGCCTTGAGGTCGCCTTCCTCCCGGTCTTGCTTCTAGAAGCCACCTGGCCTAATAGTCATCTCCCATTCTGTTAACATGCCCGTATCACTTCAATTGCCTTTCTTCAATCGTCTCTTGGACGGATCTAACTCCTAGTTCATCTCGCATCCTTTCATTCCTTATTCGATTTTCCCTGGTTTTTCCTAATATTTTCCTTAGGAATCTCATTTCTGCAGATACAACCTTGCTGGTATGGCGGTCCAAGGGTGTCCAGCTCTCCGATCCGTATAGTAGCACTAGGAGAAAAACTGATTTGAATAGCAGAATCTTCGCTTTTCTGCTCATCTCCTGTTTTCCAATGAGTGTCATGGATATTTGGTAGTATATTCCATTGGCCTTTTGGACTCTATTTATGACCTCCTGGTCTATTCTTCCATCCCTGCCAATCATTGTTCCCTGGTAGCAGTAGGTATCGGTTTGCTCAAGGGTCTCTCCATTGAAAGTGATTCTAAGATCCTCGTTCCTTCATCCAACACACATGACCCTGCTTTTGGAAGGATTGATCGGCATGCTCCTGAGTTTGCAGTTCTTCTTGCCACTCATTCACAGCGACTTGGAGCGATTCAGCAGTATCCGCAACCAATACCAATACCTGTACTCATCTTTGTATAGCAATGCCTGTGTCAACACTGGGGTCATATTCCAGTATCCCACCCAATTGCTCTGGGTGTCATCCTTTTACAAATTTTCCAAATGGCATCCATGAAAATTATGAACAGTAGGGGGCTCAGGCTATTGCCTGTTTATTTCCTCAGTATTGGCTTGCCTTATTACTCCCTTTGGTCTTGGTACACTGACTTAATTGCACTAATAAGATTTTGGGGGATTCTGCTATCTTGCAATGCTTCCCATATTTCCTGTCTATGAACATGATCGAAAGCCGCCCATAAATCTAGAAAAGCTAGGTATACTGCTTTACCTCTATCCCATGCCTTCTCTACAATCATTCACAGAGAGAAGATATGATCTTGTGTCTGCCTGCTGGGTCTAAAACCTGCCTGTTCCTCTTCCAGATCTTCTTCCACCAATTTCCTTAATCTTTGTTCCAGGATTCCAGACAAAGATGTAATGCCTCCCACCAGGATGGGAAGCCTGCCTCGAGGAACTTCGGCTCTTGGTCGGATGGGTTCGTTCCAAGCTGTTGATTTCCTCTATCTCTGTTCTTTAATGCTAACTCTTATATTATTTGTAGTTTTTTACCGTTTATATATGTATATATATATTTTTTTTTTTCTCTCAAAATATGGAAACGATGTCGATTTGCGTGCCGATGTCATTTTTTTTTCGATTTTATACATTTTTCCTTTAACAATATCTGGAAAAGATTTATTTAGAAAACCAGGGTACCGTTTTTTATAATTTTTATGCTTCAATTAAAGACACTTTATTATTAATTTCTATTGTTTTTATCTCCATTTGCATCTGAAATATCGGACAACTGCAGTCGAGTGTGTGACGTGTTGCCCCCTCACCCCCCACATTTGATACAATTAAAGTCGTTTAGGCATTTAGAATTTTCCGTATGCAGGATTTTGCCACATTGAATGCTGATTAGTTTTTTTCTACAATGTTAATAGAGTGATTAAACCCAAGCTGTTAAAACATCTAATTGGATTAGGCACACAAGCGTGGCTTCAACAGTTTGATATCGTTTTGGGTGCGATGGGGGTTGGAAAAGTAACAATATAGCTACGAGTCGCTATTTTGTTACTATTTTTATTTATTTTTTATTCTAATAATATCATTTTTGATATGACCAATTTCCTACTTTATTTTTTCAATATCATGGTATTTAAAGTCATAAACTTTAATTATTCTTTACTGTAATTCAGTGTGTTGTGAAGAGTTACTTTGATGGGAAATAGACCTCCAAAAGTTTTATGTTTTATTAATGAAGTTGATAGAGTACCTCTAAAGGTCTCAATTGTCTCAAGGATCTATCTCTAAGCTTTTTAATATTTTTTATGTCACCAGCTATCCCAGTGACAAACTTGTTAATAAAAAATGGAGAGTCCTTTTTAAAGTCCTCTTCATCGATTCTCTTTGCATCCAAAAAGGTAGAGATTCATTTCTTGGTTGTCTTAGATAGATATTTTATGTGGGGATTTTTTCATAGGTCCAAGAACACGAATTAATATAAAATAATGGTAAAAAGTAAAAACAAGGAGAGAAAAAATATCAAATAAATTTCCTTTATACTGAAGAACAAAAAAAAATGAAATAAAAGAATATTTAAAAAAAAACAATATAATATAGTAAATACAGAGGAAAAAACTACGATAGAATAAAAGTAAGCTTATCTGGTTCCTGTAGCTATGAGCACTGTCTGCTACGCAATTCAGGCAAATACTGACCTTAAATTTTTAATTCTATTATATAAGTCAATTAGATTTATGTTTTATCAATTTTATAGATTTAGGTTTATGGTATGTCAATAACATACTATGTTTTACATTTATTGATAATTGCTAAATTGGCTAGGTAGAAGTGTTACAGTCTGAATTGTACAGTGTAATTTATTCAAATTTGTCAATACATGTTAGATTGGACTAAATATTGTTATAGAATGTGTTTGATATAGCAAGATAGAACCTTACATTGTTAATTTTATATATATGTAAATTAAATACCTCATTTCTAACCTTGCTTACTTTTCGATCCCGCCAAGGCGTCTGAAAGAAGTTCTGAAAAGAAGATGGTCTCATGGTCTCCTAATGTAAATATATTATAAGAGTGTTACCAGCTGGTACTTTCTCAAAAAGTTTTTTCATTTCATTATATTCTTGTGTTCATATTTACTAGATGTATTTTTATTTTGATAAAGTTGTAAATATCATGAATAATAAAAAAAAGGTTTCCCTAGATCTTAATTATTTTTTTAATGTTTATTTTAGGGGAAACTCTTTGGAAGCGTTAAAAGTTGTTCTAAGAAATGCTCCATTAACGTCCAAGAACCCACAAGTAAAAGTAAGAAGTATTTTTATATTAATAATACTTAAAATATATTTATTGCATATTTATTTATGTATACATAAATCTAGATCTACCTCAACGACATGAACCAATTACCAAGGTTAGATTTGCACTTTTAGAAATACCTAATCGACTTCCAAAAACAAATAAATCGGTTTTTGTACTAAAACCTAGGGTTGCCGTCTGACAATAGGAGGTTCCAAGCTTTGGGGGATTATTTATTTAAAATAATAGCATTTTCATTTCAATTATAAACTTTTTCATATCAAATATAACCTTTTCCATTTCACATATAACACTTTCCAATTCAAATGTTACCTGTTCCACTTCAGTTGCAATCCGACCAGGTGATAATTAATTTGTAAATCTTATTTTTCATTTAAAAATAATTCTTTTAATTTCAATAATTCTTTTTTAAATCATTTCATCATATTATAATAATATATTTTTTGTTTATTATATAAGTAGTAAACTCGTTTAGAATAGGATCAGTTTGGTTGTTCCAGCCAAGCTAAACAGCCTAGCCCAGGACTTAAATCTCCTATGCCCTACTTGTGTGTATATGGTTCAAGGAATTTTTTTTATGGATATACAATTTACTATCCACTTTAAAATTGTACTACAAAGAAAAAGATTACCAGTTGTGGGAAAACCGCTGGATTCCAGAAGTAACTCTTTAGTCTGAACTATCGTACTTCAGAGAGAAAATAACGTGCATCTTTCAAACTCTATTAATTGCTAGAGTGGGTTTTTGCGTAGAAATCCGTAATATCCCATTCCAGCAAAGACCCCTATTATCCATTATGCACAGTAGAGGAAAAATAAAATAAAACCTGTCTGATCATAGGAAAGCGAAATAATAGCCGCTTGAAAGATTTTGAACTCTTCAACAGCTAACTCAATTGGACCTACACAAACTGAACATAACTGCAAATGTTTACAAAAAAGTAACACACAATCTAATATAGCTGCTCCGGGGGGAATCATACTTGTGCAATTGGGGTGATTGACCCATTAAAGGAGAAGAGGTTATTCCCAAAGATTTATGATCATTGGCTTTTGAAAAGATTATTGAACGTTCTCCCGACCCTCTGTTGACTCGTGCACACCAATGGTTCTACCAAACAAGCAATACATGATGGAGGGGCCGGCGCATACTCTCATCTATTTGCTATTTCGAAACCGATTGGGAAATTGGATTCGAATTTAGATAGCGAAATAAAAGCAATGCTATTGGCGCTGCAAACCTTGTCAAACTTAGATGCCAAAAACATCGTACTTGTGGATTTACAGACGGCTGTCCTTGTCGTCTCATGGCCCAGTGAATCCTTTGTTCAGGATATTCTGAAGTGCCAAACCATTATGGAGGGACTTGGACTAAGGAAGAGAGGTATTCTTTCAATGGATACCAAGTCATTCTGATATTCATGGCTAAGAAATGGCGGACAAACCCTCTAAAGAAGGCTAAATATTGTACCAGCCAGAAAATCGGACATCATTCTATAGAATTAATATGCAGAGATCAACATCCAAGTTAATATTGGGGAATTCACTTTTGGGAGAGACACCGAATTTATATACCTTGGCTCCTAAGTGAAAGCAAACGACATCATGCAGCTTGAAATTAATGGAAGGCTGACGACATCTAATATGTCCTATTTCGGCTTGCAGAAACGCCTCAAAAACAAAACTATATCACGGACTTAGAAATTGCATTTATACAATTGTTGAATGTGTCGGTCCGGACACATTCAACAATTGTATTGTGTATGTTATACTGAGTAAAAAGAACCTTGTCTGCCGTTCCAGAGTCGCTGCTTTAAAAAATGGTGGCTAATTTAAAGAATATTAGGCTAATAATTAGAGGATCGAAACGGGAAATCCATTGCGAAAAAAAAAAGAAAAGTTGTGAGAAAGTTTGTGAGAAAAGTTTTTTTTTTTTTAAACTTGTATGTATGGGTTTATACATGTAAAAAACAAAATTGCTAATGTGGACCTCCCAGGGAAAACTTTTTACAGCCAAAAAAGTCAGATTTTTTCTATATCTTTTTGGGTTTTTCACCTATAACTCCTAAACAATACATCAAAAGAAAAAAAAAATGTATTTTTAATAAATTAAAGAACGTTAAATTTTGTGTCAAACGAGTACATAAACTTTAAAATTTGGTTACGTGGTAAGGTATAAAACCACGGTCAACCAACGCTGATTTTTACCAAATTTGTCAAAAACTGAGACAAATTACTATAAATGGCTCTCTAACTTGGAAATGAGTTCCCTAAGAGGAAAAACCTATAGAATCAAATTTGTAGAGCATCAAATTTTGCGTCTACTGAGTACTGACATTTTTATTGTAGGCCAATTATATATCTCGAATCGGGATTAGTTATTCCTTTATAAAATTCGGTATCTTTCGACATATCGTTTACCAAAATCCTTTGCTGTCGAGAGGTTGAAAAGACGCTTATACTGCAACAGACTAAACAAAAGTAACCGAGTAGAATAGACACCCATACTGTTGAAATATTGAAAATCACGTTTACCTTCATTACCAATTTCTAACCACCCAGAGATTACCGATTTTGTTTGCAGCAAGTGACCTACATTAAATTATCTGGTACTCATTTGTCGCAAAATTTGAAGCTCTACAACTTTGATTCTATAGGTTTTTCCTCTTAGGGAACTCATTTCCAAGTTACAGAGCCATTTATAGTAATTTTTGAAAGCAGCAGCTCTGGAACGGCAGACAAGGTCCTTTTTACTCAGAATAACATATACTTTCGTAATTTACAATCAAACCTTCGCTTGCGATAAGATCGATTTTTGGGTCCTGGCTCCTGGGCTGTTAGGAAAAAGAAGATTCAATCGTTCGGAATCGAGTGGAGAATATAATTGTGCTTTGTTAGCTCACTATAGTTTGTGATTCTAGAACGTCATGAGTTTTACAAACTCCTCGAGAAGACTATAGATGAGTGTCCTGGATTTACTGTAGTTTAATAATTCTAGATCTGATATTATATTTAAATAATTAGGTATCAACGTCCGTTTATGCCGAAATATTGTTATCTAACTTTTTAGAAAATTAAATTAGTGAATAATTTGATGAATCTTCCCTTTGTGATATTCCAATAGTATCCACTACTAGGCTACTATTTATATTTCATTGTACTTGTGTGATAGAAGAAGTGAAATAATAAGAATATTAATATTGGTAAGTGAAAGTTGTGTGTTGCGCGTAACAGATTTTTTCATAATAATATTGCATTTTTCTAAAAATTATAGTCAAGCGTTTCCAGAAAATCAATTTTTAAGCAATTGAGAATTTGGTGAGAATATTATCTAACAAAATTGGGAGATCCTTATGAAGAAATTACGCTTAAGTAAAACTCCTTATGTCCCAATAGGTCTCAACTACATACCAACACGCACTCATAAACTTACATGCATGCACGCAGTTGGGAATTTGCTGAAAATATTATGTCATACAAATATTGGTAGATACCATCTTTTTGAAGAAATTTCACTGAAGCAAAACTTTTTATGTCCCAATAGGCTTTACCAAAGCGCGCGGATGCACACACCTGCACACCCACGAGCGCAATTGGGAATTTTCTGAGAACACTATCTAACATAATTGATAAATACCATCCTTATGAAAAAAATACAATTCACCATAACCCCTTAGTCGTCCTAATTGTAATTTTTATTTTTTTTTTATACTAATTAATGTTTATTTGTATTTTTGTTATTAACTAGGAAAGTGCGTTGAACTTAACAATGAAAGTTTTGATGTCCTTCAAGTCTTCTCAAGTTGATGAAGCTGTGAATTCCTTGGACGTAGAAATGATTGATACATTGATGAAGTACATTTATAAAGGTTTTGAATTTCCCTCTGAGAAAAGATGTGGCCAGCTTTTACTTTGGCATGAAAAAGTTTATTCAGTTGGTGGTGTTGGAAGCATTGTCAGAGTACTAACGGATCATAAGAGAGCATAATTATATAATTTTACTTTTGACAATCTATTTTTAATATATACATTCTATGGTTATTTTATTATTATTTAATAATTTATCTAAGTCATATTTATGTGCAATTGAAATTTTCAATTTGTTAATAAATCTTAGTTATAAAGCTTTTGTTCATTATTTCCTTATATTTTTAGTGAAATATATATTATTACTTTATTTTGAGCAAATGCTCTGTGGAAACTCGCTCAGTCAGCTTCTTAATATTCTATATTTAACTTAATTCTATATTTATAACTTAATTTTCTATAATTCGTCGGTTTATAACAGTAATGTCCTGACTGTTGACCAGAAATGATCTGCACGCTCCTTACTTCCAACTGTCCATAGAGCTCAGTAGGCTGTTATATCTTAGCAAGATAAGAGGTGTTTTATTCGAGTGTCCAAGCTACAGTGCGTTGATTGTTGTTGTGGTGGCTGGTTAAAACCCCTTGTACAAGACCATGGAGGGAAGGAGGTCGCAGGGGAGAGAAGTGGACAAAAAAACAAACATAGGCCAAAGGAGCTCATCTTATGATTCCCTGGAAGTTGGAGTAGAAAAAGGAAAAGTGGGTCTACTAAGCAGTCAGAGAGATCCTTAGAGGTAGATGGTGGACCCTAGAGATAATAGACTACCTGAATGTTTCTCACTGCCTAAAATGATTTGTTAGCTGAAATATTTCAATGCAATAATAATAATAATAATAAATCGATCAAATACCCTGATGATATTGAAATCCATTGGAAAAATTTATGGGAAAAATCGGGGAATCACCTCCAGAGCTCTTGGATACAAGAAGAACTGCAAAGTCTTCAGAATGCCAATGGAATGATGGAAGTGACCATAACAGTGGAAGATGTTTCGGAAGCGGTCAGGAACATGAAAAATTGGAGGGCACCAGGACCTGACAGTATCCAAAATTACTGGATTAAAAGATTTCATTGCTTCCATGAATTGCTGGCTAAAGGTTACCAAGAAATACTTGAAGACAAACAAACCCCCCCTGATGGTTTCTCTGATGGCATCACGTATATGCTTCCGAAAAAGAATGACAAACATGCGTCCTGTAGAATTTTGGCCAATAACGTGTTTAAATGGTCTGTATAAAATTCTAACTTCCATCTTGGCAACTAAGATATATGAGCACCTCAAAAGTGAGAATATGATACCCATAGAACAGCTGGGGTGCAAAAAAGGTGCTAGGGGCTGTAAAGAACTCCTAGTAATAGATTCGTTCATTGCAGCACAAGTTGTGAAAAAACAGCGAAACCTCTCTATGGCATGGATCGATTATAAAAAGGCCTTTGGCTCGGTTCCACACAGCTGGCTACTTAGAGTACTAGATATATACAAGGTTGAATCTAAAGTAAGCAGGCTCCTTTCAAACTTAATGACAGGATGGAAAACTACGCTGAAAGTTGGAGCTATCTGCACAGGGAATCAAATTAAAATATTGAGAGGAATATACCAAGGAGATTGTCTAAGCCCCTTATAGTTCTGTATGGCTTTGTTCCCACTAAGCAGGATTCTTCGAAAGAACAAGATGGGATACAAATTAATCATCAACGACGAAGCCGCCACAGCTGGTACATGGATGACCTTAAACTATATGCGAAAAACAAAGACCAATTACAAACTATGGTTGAAGCCGTTTCATCTTTTTCTAGTAATATAGGCATGTCTCTGTCTGGATAAATGTGCGATGCTCCATGTAACCAAAGGAAAGTGGTTAGTATGCAGAATATTCTAATCAACTAGTAGGCTCGTGCGAAAAATTCGCACAGCATATTGTTATCAAATGCCAAATTAATAAGAAAATGCAACTTATCAAAAGATTAAGACATCAAATGTTACTTTATCGATAAATATAATCCACAAAGAAAAACAAAAATTAATTTAAATCTTCATTTTTGTTTGGAACCAACATGTATACAAATTTCAGTAAGCTGTATATTTGCTAAAAATTGTCCGATTGCGATGATTTTTTTTTTCCTTTTGTAGGGAATTTAGTAATGTTTTATATAATTATGGGCATAACCTAGGGAAAAGTGTGTACTTTTTCAGTTATTCGCAAATAAAGTTTATTTTCTTTCATAACTTGTTTGCCTGAATTTTCTGGGTGATTGGACTATTTTGTCAGCCTGAAGGAGAAGGAAGCCTTCGAAATTGGTGGCTCAAACTTGAGATTTGGTGAAAAATTAACGATGATATGGCTTGCCGATCAAAAACACCGTCGATGAATAATATAACTCCCCCTCTCTCGATCGTGATCTCAAGTCGAAATGAGTTATGTATTCAATGACAGTACTACAATTAATGTAAGGTTGTGTGGATGCGAACCCTATGCCTTGCGTTATCTCGAAAATAGTACGTTTTTCGGCTTAAAAACGCAGGATCTGATAGTTCCGAGGGAACTATTCGGGTCTTGCTGTACGCATCAAAATCTTTAACATCCAATTTGTCCCGTATCGTTCTACAGACCTACCCCCGTTCCAGTATCGAAGCCTAGCAAAATGTTTGTATCGACTTTATTTATTTTAGAAAGAAAAACAAAAGTGGAGAATACGATTCGCTAACCCCCCGTGAAATTCTGAATCCAACGGTACTCCTTTCGTGGTATTTGAGTATGACAGGAGCTTATATTTGGTACAAAACCGATTTCGAGCCTTACTGTAATAATATATGTACGGATGAAAAAGAGTACATCAGGGAGCTTGAAGACAATAGGTTATAAAAATATCTGGGAATGCAACATCATAAAATTGCAAGAAAAGACATGCAACAAGACCTTCTGACAATGTTCAAAATTAGATTGCAGAAAGTGCTCAAAACCCAGCTAACAGGGAAACAAAAAATCAAGGCCATTAACACCTGGGCAATACCTGCTCTCGGTTATAGTTTCGGCATATTGCACTGGTCAAACACCAGCCTACAGGAGATCGACCGCCTTGTGCGAACAACTCTCACACAAGAACGGGCCCACCACCCAATATCCTCCAAAGCTCGTCTATATTTGCCGAGGAAAGAAGGAAGACGTGGTTTGCTAAACATCGGAGAAGCTTGCCGCAAGCAGGAAGTGGCCCTACGCCCATACTTTCTTACAAAAACAACTGAGGTTTACCTCGCAATCTCAAGATTGGATTATGGTCTAACCGCATTTAACCTGAGCAATCGTGAGGCCTCTACAATCGTGCCAGAAAATGAACTGTTGACAGAATGGAAAAATAAATCTCTGCATGGAAGATTCTACAGCAAATTAAATGATAGCTCGATTGACAAGGAAATATCCATTGGATGGCTGAAAGCTGGAAAGATATTCTCCGAGACAGAAGGATTTCTACTCGACATCCAAGACCAAGTTATTGCTACTAGATCATATAGAAGGCATGTTCTTAAAGACGCAACAACTACGGATAAATGCCACAATAAACCAGAGATCCTTCTGATAGATATGAGAGAGAAAAGAGCAGAGCTTATTGATGTCGGGGTCCCCAATGATAATAATATAAGCTCCACTGTTGGAGAAAAACTGAGAAAATACCAGGAACTGGCAATCGAACTGAAGGAATTATATCATTTGGGGAACGTCACCACTACTCCAATTATAATATCCTCCAATGGATTGATACCAAAGTCAATAGTGGCAGGCACGATCGGATTAAAATTACCTCTTGATGTGCTGAAAGAGGCTCAACACGCAGTTCTCTTGGACACAGGATGTATTGTTCGAAAGTTTTTAACTGTCTAAAAAATAATAGATATTAATTTGAAGTGGCTGGACTTCTGGTCTCCCACCTCAGAAACATACCCCGCAAAGCGAGCATAAAGAATGGGAATAATAATAATAATGCAATTCAATTCAATTCAAAAATTTTATAAGAGCCCAACATGGCCAGAAAATAATTTCTATTCCAAGTTGAGTGGCAAATAAAAGTTGTGTGTTTTTTAATTAAGTAGTTAAATATGATTACAATAATTAGTATTTTTAATGTAATAATTACAAAATAAAAAAAAATAAAGTAAATAAATAAGTACATGACAGGTTCAGGGAAACTGATCACTTTTTTTATGCAGCAGCATTATTAATAATATAAATAAAGAAAAATAGTTTATTATTCTCTTTTAATTATTAAAAATACAAAAATGTAGTTAGGTTAAGAAAAACTGAAAAGTTCAGGAAATATGAGCTCTTTCAGTTTAAAAGATAACATATGTGCCCAAATATATTAAAATATATGGTAATTAGCCCAGTAAATTTAGGATCTGATATCAAGAAAATTCACAATTGGCTGTAAATATGGGGATTAGTTCCTCATCGAATGTAGCTCAAACCATCAAAAGTCCCCTAAAATCTCTTGTCCGCTTCTATCCAAAATGGAGGATCAAAGATGGCCACCTACAACTTTCTGTCTTATCTTATGTTTTTTCTCATATCTTCGTCAAAAAACCATCATTATCGAATTCTACAAGTACTAATATAATCGGCACGGCAATGATGCTCGTTTTGGATTCCATCAGAGTTCACCTGATAAAAAAAAAGGTAAACGATCTATATATTAATCTGTTTGGAGTCAAAAAAGCGAAATTTTCTTGATTCTAATTCTGTCACCCTTCATAACTTTGAAATTATTGACAAATAGAAAATAATGCTTCTTATCATTTTTGTAATCCTAAACAAGAGAAATGTTAGACAAATTATTTTTTAAATATTTGCTGAAAAATGGTGGAGATATGTTATGAAGGGTAGCATTCGTTTCAAAAGGATCTTTTCAAATATTTTTGAAAGGATTGGGAGTAGGCTAATTGGTCTATGGGATGTCAAGCTGTTGGGAGGTTTGCCTGGTTTGGGGAAAAGTATAATAATGGAGTATTTCCATAATAGAGGAAAGTGGGTAGTACGTAGGATGCAATTATAGATATATGCAAGGAATAATAGCACATTATAAAATAGCTAACGTTTTTCACAATGTTTATAGTAAAACCACATTATAAACTCTAATATCCAGATTATAACGAAATATTAAAAAAAAGGAGTCTGAATCGTTTTTTAATGACACAAATTTACTTGGCCTACTTTACTGGACATCTTTTGGTTTTTATAATTTATTATAAATTTGAACACTTTTAACTTCTGTATGGTTTTCTTATTTTATACAAAAAACAAATTGATTGATATATTATAACGCACAAATCTATTCAGAGCAACTACAAATCAAAGACAGACAATAATTTTAAAATTTTATAAAGTTTTTTTTCTCGTTTCCTAGGGCGCATTGAGATATTGAGCTGGGAGGGAACATACCCCTCTTGGTATCATCAAAAGAATTTTTATTGAACCTTAGCCTCCCCTTCTAGGTACTAAGCTAATCATGAAGTTTTTCATTTTTCGAATTAGGTTTATGTTTAGGGGAGAGTAGTAGTTTAGAGATTTAACTGAGTATTATATTACTAACTATTGATTCAAGATATTTACAAATGTATTACAATATAAATACATCAAGTAAATGTGTACACAGGAATATAATCAAGTGAAACTGGTAGCACTCTAATAATATGTCTATATAAGGAGATCACGAGCTCATCTTCTTTTCAGAAGCCTCGGAGGGAGTATTATATTACTAAATAACTAAATTTATCTTTACACCATAGGTACTACTTTTTCTTGTAACATTTTTCCCAGTCCTTCCTAAGCATAGTAAATAGATAAAATAAATAAATTTAGTTTTCGATCCTCCTTAATCCAATATAATCCAAATTTAACGAGGTTGGAACGGCGGGGCACAGTTAGTTGTTTGGTAAACTCCTAAATAATAAATTATGGATTGATGGTTGACTGTAGTGAATAATTGAAGAGAAGAACGGTTGGGATAATCAGTAAAAAAAAAATAGATAAGTATTTTTTATTTTTGCAGACGTTTCGGCCTAAAGTTCAGGCCTTCATCATGGCTAAGAGAAAACCAGAGCCAACCAAATAATAAATTGTTGTAATTGCAAATAGCACTTTATTGAGACAATCTTTTCGTGTGAAGCTTGGAAATAAGCATGTAAATATTATTAAGCAATAACACATTTCAAGTTCTTGAAATTTCAAATTCATATTCTACTCGAGGCCTGATTAATAATTTCTCTCATGTCAATTAACGAACACATTAAGTATTGTCCCAAAAGATAGGAATTCGTTATTCCAGAAGATCGATAAGCTGATATGGAGAAGTTTATGTATTGTTTTCCTAATTTGTAATAGCATGAGTAGCCACATGGTGACAAAGCCCCACTTGAACTAAATCCGTCAAAGTTAGAAGCCATCTGAAAAAGAAATGATAAAAGAGAAAACAGAAACAATAACATTGGCAATTCATTTTAAATTACAATTTTGTTGTATTTAAATATTTACTTCAAAAAAGATCGAAAAATACCTCTCTGCCAGCAAATATTAGCTGGATACACTCGGCAGACGCACTCAAAATCTCACCTTTTTGAATACCGAAATGGTGTCAGTTTTTACTTCATGAAACTTTTAGCATTCAATTATAGATAGTATTCAAAATCTCACTTGACGCTGAGTTAGAGAGTCGAAAAGGGAAAAGTTCCAAAAAAATCAAATAATAACTACTGTTTTGAACATTTGGTCTAAAATATCTCAATATTTAAATACCATGGAGAATTCAGAAACCAATTCGCAGAAGTCATTTTTTTTTTTTTAACTAGCCGTAACAATGAGAAACTATGTGTTTCTATTCGATTTTCTGTGCTTCGTCCAATTACAGACCCGCGTTAAAGACTTTTTTGAAATTAACATTAGATTGGAAGTGTCGAATGATTCAAATGAAATATGGAACAACGATTGAACGAGTTTTGGTTAGATATTTAGCAAATAGATTTCAATCAAAAGTATTCATCGTATATTTTCTTCTTCTTATTTGGCATTACGACCCACTTGACCTAACAAAGCCTGCTTCAACAAGGATTGCCAGTCAGCTAGATAGGAATTGCGCTAGAGGATTGCAATGGTGAATAACGTTCTGGTGAAATTTGGTAAATCAGGATGGGATTATGTTTTGCTTGTGACATAATATGGAGCGTTAATTATTGTTCGAAGTACTTTGGACTCTAAGGATTGAATACGTTTGATTTTCGACAATTTTGCTGTCCCCTACAGTTCAAGTCCGTACGTCCACTTAGGTTTCAGTACAGTCTTGTAAATTAATAGTTTGTTTTCGATTACAAGATGAGATGTCCTGTTTAGTAATTTGTATAACTGGACAAATCGTCGGTTAAGGTCTTGTCTTTTAAGTCTGGTGGGTGGGTTCCAAGTCAATATTTTGTCTAAAAGGAAGAAAAGATACCGGACAGTGGCTGAGGTGGCAAGTGGGATAGAGTTAAACAGGATTGGCGGGCAGGATCTGTGTTGGAGGGTGAATGTGACATGTTTACATTTTGATTCGCTGATAATGATGCGCCAATTGTTGAACCACTGCTCTCACTCAGGGACCACTAACGGATCAAGAATTTAATTTTGAGGGTGGGCTTCAGCCCGAGAGATTTTTTTAAATAAATATATTAGGATAATTTCTTCGGAAGAAAGAATTAAACTAACTGCCCATATGAAATGGTCTTTAAGTGATCCTTTAAGTCCTATTAACTGTAATTAGACGAAAAATAATACTTCTAGAGATAATTTTTTTCATAAAATGTGGTTAAATTTTACCATTTTGGGTGGCTTCAGCCCGAAAGCTCCCCTCCCGTAGATCCGCCCGTGTTAGGGACAGGTGTCTTTGCATATTGAGGAATGCGATTTCGGGATCTGTGTGGGAGGACTGGATGGCGGTATCATCTGCGAATGTTGCTAGGAAGGTATCGGTAGCAATGTCAACAGTGAAGAGAATATATAAAATATGAAGTAAGAAACTGGAAAATTTTGATCCAAATCGTACTCGGAAGGAACTATTGGTGAGGTAGGATTTGAGGACTAAGTACAATAATTGGGGTAACAGGGAGAATTTACACTTTAGCGAAATGTTTTTTAACCATTATCCAGGAAGTTTGTTTGTCTGAACTAGACCTGGGCAGAATTTATTTGAAAAATATTCCCGAAATAAATCCCTAAACAAACCCCGATAGTTATTTCCGAAATAATTTATTTCATGAAATAACCTGACCATTATTTCCGAAATGATTATTTCGGGAATAAATTATTTCAGGAATAACGATATCTGATGAAATGATTATTTTAGGAATAATGTGAAATCTGAAATAATCATATGAAAATACTGTCGAATTTGATATTGCACCACCCCTTCCCCACCCCCCATCGACTTTTTGTAACTTTTCAGATATAATCGATATCAGGGTCGACTTTTTTGTTTTCGGGGGCGCTTTTTATGAAAATACTGTCGAATTTGATATTGCACCACCCCCTTCCCACCCCCCATCGACTTTTTGTAACTTTTCAGATATAATCGATATCAGGGTCGACTATTATGTTTACGGGGGCGCTAGTTATAAAAACAATGTCAAATTTGAGATTGCGCCCCCCCCCCACCCTCTCACATCAACTTTTTGTAACTTTTCTGAAATAATCGATATCAGGGTCGACTTTTATGTTTTCGGGGGCGCTTTTTAAAAAAATACTGTTGAATTTGATATTGCACCACCCCCCATCGACTTTTTGTAACTTTTCAGATATAATCGATATCAGGGTCGACTATTATGTTTTCGTGGGCGCTAGTTATAAAAATAATGTCAAATTTGAGATTGCGTCTCCCCCTCCACTTCCAGCATCAACTTTTTGTAACTTTTCGGATTTAATCCATATCAGGGTTGACATTTATGATTCCGGGAGCGCTTTTTATGGAAATACTGTCAAATTTGATATTGCGCCATCCCCCTCCCCACCCCGCATCGCATTTTGTAACTTTTCAGATATAATCGATATCAGGGTCGACTGTTATGTTTTCGGGGCCGCTAATTATAAAAATAATGTCAGATCTGAGATTGCGCCCTTCCACCCTCCCGCATCAGCTTTTTGTAACTTTTCAGATTTAATCGATACCAGGATCGACTAATATGTTTTCGGGATAGCTAATTAAGAAAATACGATCGAATTTGAAAAAGATATCCCGAAAACATAAAAGACCACCCTGATATAGATTAAGTCGGAAAAGTCACTAAAAGACGATTGGGGGGGGGGAGGGAGAGGCGCAATCTCAAATTCAACCGAATTTTCATAATTAGCTACCCCGAAAACATAATAGTCGACCCTGATATGGATTAAATCCGAAAAGTTACAAAAAGTCGATGCTGGAGGGTGGAGAGGGGCGCAATCTCAAATTCGACACTGTTTTCATAAAAAGATACCCCGAAAACATGGTGCATATTGGTAATTTTTTTATGTTATTTCAGAACAATGTTATTTCTGAAATATTTATTTCTTGATTTTATGCAATAATTTATTTATGAAATAAATATTTCTGAAATAATAGTTATGAAATAATTTATTTCAGAAATAATTCATTTCGAAATAATTTACATTATTCCAAAGAATGTTAAAATAGTGAAATAATTATTTCAGAAATAAATTCAGAGTTATTCCATCGAGATTATTTCGTTGACTGTTTGAAATATTATTTCAGAAATAACCGTTATTCTCGAAATAATTCATTCGTGGAATAACCATGTGAATTATTTCAGAAATAAATTATTTCAAGAGTGCCCAGGTCTAGTCTGAACCAACTGTTATATTTAATTAAAAGTATTAACAGTTTCGTTAAATCATTTCACTTAGTATATACCTGATATGTATTCAGATTGATATTGCAACTTTTTTGATATGCTGGGGTGCAAAATATTTGTGGATCCGGACGTCCATTTTCGCTAGCTATCATACGTAAACCAAACAGGTGATTATCTATCCCTTTTCCTTCCATTACCTAAATTGGACACACTTTTCTGGTTAAAATATATATTTTTCTTTAAAAAAAAAAAAGATTAACTATATAAATTTGTTACCTCCTTGGCCATTTCTTGGTGATATTTAATACCTGTGTAAAGGGCATTTGCTTTGCTTTGTACTGAAAGGGTAGAACATTGCATAGCACATACGAATCTTGTAGTTTCTTCGGAGCAACAACGAATTACCTCATTTCTTCCGTCTTTAAATTGTCTGATTGATACTAATTGAAACTGCGGTTTTATCGTTTGGTGTAATCTATCCCAAGAAAAGAATAATTAAAGTCGTCATTTCGTTAGAATATTCACAATGATAGAGAGTTGTAATATAATTGTTTGTAATAATTTTCTTTAACAAGGAAGTAGGGAAAATAAAAACGTAATATATTTCACATTTTTTTTTAATATCGAAATAATAAACCTAAAACCAACAATTAAATATTAACATAATGCCTCTGCATGTGCAGTCAAGATGTCTGGGTGATCAGTTCTATAAATAGAGTAATAAAGGATAAATCAAGTTCAGTACACAGTTGTGTCAGTCCGTTGGCATTCCATAGAAGAATTGACAGGGAATCCACAGTTTAATTATTGTGGGGCATAATTAGGACACCAGACCTGTTTAAACGGGGACAGTTGTTAAAGAAGAATGACAAAGGGCTGGATTAAGTTCTTTAATCCCTTAATTATATTAAATAACTGGGAAGAGCCATTATCTACCGGAGAAACCGACTAGGTGGTAATGTCTCCTCTCATACCTGTACATGATTCTTGGTTCTGGTGTGCTGAGCTCCATGATGTTTGATTTTGTTGCTGCTGAGGTCCGGCAATGATTTGTGGTTCCGCTTGGTTGAGAAGCTGCTGTATTGGAGGGAATTCATGCATGCCTGGAGGTTTCTGCGCTGTCTCTGCTACTGTGGAACGCTGAAGATGGTTTCTGGCATTGCGCTGGACCCTGAGATCTTTCAGCATCAGGCAGCCTCTGTAGTTAGCCGGGTGCTGACCAATACACTTAGCGGGAGTCTCTCTAGTTTTTAAACATGAGTTACTTTCATGATATTCGTCGCATTTCACACATCGCAGTCGAAGATTGCAATATATTTTAGTGTGCCCATATTGCTGACACCGAATACTTCGCTTTTGAAACAGTGTCTGGTACTAAACGTTGTGGGTTCTATCCTCCCTCTTAATCGGTTAATATTTACTTCTCGGTGGCCTCGATAAATGAATCTTGACAATTCCCACTCAGGTAAGTACTCGGCGGCAACGACAAGATAGCCGTCAGGAGTTTGCAAAAAGGGTGGCCGAATGGGCTAAGGCGTGTGCTTAGCATTTAAAATATTGACTTTTATTAAGAGAGCGGTGAAAGGAAAATTGAGAGGCAGCAAAATTAAGCTTGCCCCTCCTGGCGAAAATTGTAGTTCGGACTCTGTCGGATGGTATGGAATATTTATCGCACGTTGTTTTGGTTTTGAAAATTGAAGTATTCTTATTAATTATGCCAAACTATAAAAATATTGAAAAAGTACTCAGAAAAAACAATTCTGAGATATTATGTCATCGATTCAATTGTCACAAGCAGACTGGAATGCCTCAAAAATTTATAATGCGATGCAATCATTACAAATATATTAATGAGGTAATTATTTAATTACCTAAAGTACGCTAACTGAATAGCCATTTGTATATAACTATCTGCACTTATTTCGTTACATTTTAAGAAATCTCTGCCGTATGGGTGAAATTTAAAACAGTAGAGATCCTGGTCTTCAACTAATCTGAAATAAAAACGTGTTATTGCCACAAATTATCATTTTATAAAGTTCAATAACTTATTTGACTAATTGTTAATTGTGTGACTTGGAAAGCTAACCTGTCGAAATAACAATAAGCTTCATTGATTCGATCTGCAACTTGATCATCTATTTCAAAATAAAGCTTTTTTGGTCTGCAGTTTGAGGTTATACAAGATGGCTTAGCAGTTTCCCTAAAATGTTTTGATAATTAATAATCGTCAAGAAAATATGTAATAAATTGTTTGGTAGATGTATTTATACAATATTATTATTAATTATATACAGTGCCAGTCTGAGACATTCGGCGCCCCCAAAACAGACGTCATCTCCCTCCCCTAAAAAAAATAAATTTATTTCTTCAGCTGTTTTATATTATGCAATGTTTGAATTTTATCTTAGTCAAGATTTCTCTGATGCAGTTGCTTTATTGAAAGGCTAAAACTAATTATTATAATAGGTTATGTATTTTTTTATTTCTAACAAGTGGCTACCGACTCTGAAGATCGACCGGGGATTCCCTTAGCTATTGCTCCGGTTGCCCCAACCCGGCACTGCTTATATACTAATCCTGTTTATTAAATACATTAGTATAGAACTAGACTCAGAGAAACAATGGTTTTTGACAGATAAAGTGTAAAAAGGATGGGGATTTTGGTTTTTGGTAGTATTTTGGAGCTTAGTGTATAAACCGTTCAGTATCAATGTCATCTAATACCGTCGAACAATGAAGGGACATAATGTCACTAAATGTTAATTGTTGGCTGTGAAATGTGAAATGCGAGTCCTCGGAACATTATGAACTCCTCTCTAACTGCCTATCATAAAACTAAAATGGGCTGGGGTCGATTTTAATTTCCACCCGATAAAATTAATCCCCTAAAAAAAGTTAGAAGCCAAAAGAGGGGATATAGATGACTTTAAAAAATCTCCACATTTCTTTTTATGCACAAAACTATTACAGATTCAGCGGGAAACGTAAAAAATGTAAAAAAAGAATTAAAGGTACTCTTTTAATAGAAACAATAAGCGGTCACCAAATCACAAACTATTATCTGTTACAGCTTTCGGTCCTAATCCAGTACACATGACACCGCATAATACTCTCAACTATAGTAAAGGAGTAATACGTTGTTTTGATTTCCAATAAATGGAAATAGACGAAATTGAAAAAGAATTAGACCCACTAATCAAAAATATACTTAGGATAAAATCTAAAAGTAAAGTTAATGAAATATTAACTCATAATTATATAGTTACATTCCCTACCCCTAACCCACAAACTTTACAAATTGGTTATGAAAACGTTGGAGTTCAACCTTATATACCCATTCAGGTTCTTAAATTGCTTGCTTGAGATTCTCACGCTTAACAGCTTAATGTAGAAAAGAATGTGTGTGTGTGCAACGTGGCCAGGCTAGGCATGGATAAAATAAAAGATGCACTCTAAGACCCCACTAAGAAGATAAAAAGATAAACAATATATTACTTTCAAAATTCAAAACAAATAAAAGCTATGTGTATATATATTTATATATAGAGAAAAAAAGGATATTCATAAATATACTTGGACATCACCGGATTCGCAAACACGAAATCAAATCGATCATGTCTTGATACAACACAGCTGGCAAAGCAGTATAATTAATGTACGGTCTTATCGCGGAGCAGAATGTGGGTCGGATCATGAATTAGTAATCGCGAAACTTCGACAAAAACTTAATATAAAAAAGAGAAAAGAAAACCGTTTCGATTTTGAGAATTTTAATTTGGAAAAATTAAAAAATCCATCAATTAGAAACCAATGCGAGCTAGGTGTTAAGAATAGGTTTGAAGCTTTAGAGCTTCCTGACGAGGACGACGAGGATATTGACAAGTTATGGATAGAGATCAGAGATAATATTAAAGCGGTCGGTAACTCGTGTCTAGGAAAAAAGGAAAATAAGAATAACAAACCGTGGTTTGATGAAGATTGCTTAAACATGTGTGAAAAAAAAAAAAGCCGCTAAATTAAAAGCTCTAAATAATCCTAGCGAAGACAACCTGGAATACTTCCGAATCTCAAAGAACGAAACGACAAAATTGCTCAAAAATAAAAAAAAGGAGTATCTTAAAAATAAAATAATTGAAATAGAAACTAAGAGAATCGAAAATAACGTAAGAGACATGTACAAAGGTATAAACAGATCACGTAAATATGTAGGGCCCGTAACGTCTGGAATTAGGGATGATAATAACAATATTCTGACCGATCCGGTTGACATATTGAATAAGTTTAAGGACCACTTTGACAATATTTTAAATACGGGAAATTATGATCTGTGTCCTCCTTCTGAGTACCAGAGTGCTGAACCATTAATAGAAGGACCAAGAAAAGAGGAAGTTGAAGTAGCTATCGGAAAATTAAAATCATATACAGCAGCGGGAATCGATAATATTCCTACTGAACTAATTAAGGCATGCGGAGAAGCTGGAGTTTCTAAAATACATCGGTTGGTTAAAAAGATCTGGGTGAACGAGAAATTACCTGAAGAATGGAAATAGATCTATTCTTATTCCGATTCACAAAAAGGGTCCGAGGACGGATTGTAATAACTATCGAGGAATTTCACTCCTTCCGGTATGTTATAAAATATTCACTTTAATCTTAACCAGTCGAATCACGGAATACGCCGAGGAAATTATCGGAGACTACCAATGCGGATTTAGACGGAATCGTTCGACTATTGATCAAATATTTTCTTTACGGCAAATATTAGAGAAAAAATTGGAGTATAACGGTATTGTTCACCAGCTGTATATAGATTTTAAAAAGGCTTACGATTCTATTGACCGCCAGAAACTGTATAATATTCTAATCGAGCAGGGGATTCCAAAAAAACTAGTAAATCTAGTCAGGATGTGCTTGACGGAGACATTCAATAAAGTTAGAATCGGTAATAATTTGTCCGAAAAATTTGAGGTTCGTTCGGGCTTAAAACAGGGGGATTCTCTTTCGCCTGTCCTGTTCAATTTGGCATTAGAACATGCCATTAGGGAGGTAATGCGAACCGAGAAAGGGTTGGATCTGGGCGGGACAACATCCGTGCTGGGCTATGCTGATGATCTGGTACTGTTAAGCGAAGACGTTGAAACTATAAAACTTAATACGACAACGTTAATGAAAGCCGGGAAAGAACTAGGACTCGAAATAAACGTGGATAAAACAAAATATATGGTTAGCTGCAAAAATGGCGATACTACTGGTGATATCGATATAGATGGTAATATGTTTGAACAGGTAGATAAATTTAGTTATCTAGGTTCTACGATAATTAGAAAAAACGAAATTGAAGAAGAGATTAAGGTTAGACTGAAGGCGGGGAATGCTTGTTATTTTTCTGTGACAAAACTACTTAGTTCGCGCCTCTTGTCCCGAAACTTAAAAATTAGAATCTATAAAACAATTATCTTGCCTACAGTTCTTTATGGATGCGAAAATTGGCCGCTTACATTAAGGGATGAGCAGCGTCTTAAGGTTTTTGAAAATAAAGTATTGCGTAGAATATTCGGACCGAAGAAGGATTAGTTAACCGGAGAGTTCAGACGGTTACACAACGCCGAATTGCGTGAGATGTATCCGGGTAATATAATTGAGGTAATTTCATCGCGGCGAATCAAATGGGCTTGTAAAGTTGTTGGGCTTAGTAACGAGAGAATTCCTAAAAGGTTAATATTTGCTGTGCCGAATGGTAAGCGTCCGAGGGGTAGACCGAAGCGAAGGTGGGAAGATTGTATTAAAGCCGATCTGAAGGGACTGGGTTTGGACGGCGAACGGTGGAGGGAGGTGTGTAACAAGCGATTGGTGGTGTCGGCATCGAACCTACGGGTTCGCTAAGCCTTATTATTATTATTATTATATAGAGAAAAAATAATCCTGTTTAGTTTAATAAAACTTTCGCAGAAATAACTAAAACTGAAATAATACAATTGAAAAAAAAATACGTTATCCAAGCTAATATTTTGTATTATTTTTCAGAAAATCTTGAAAAAACAGAGATATATTAACCCAGCACTGCTGTAATAAATCAAGATACTCCTAAAGAGAATAAAATTCGTTCTAGTGGTGTTAGACTGAAGATACCATTCAGAAACATTTCCTTGTTTGAGGGGCTTTAAGTTTATATTAATTAAGTCGTGGTTTGTTACAGAGTAAGTTGAGATTCATCCCTGATTGAATAAAAAGGTGTTCAAATATTTGGATCGATTCCTAATTTTTCTGTACTAATAATATTTTTACTCAATTAGAGAAAATTTAAACTCGACTTAATTAATATAGACTTAAATCTCATCGAACAAGGAAGTTTTTCCGAAAGTGTGGTACTTCAGTCCTGTTGGGGGGTTATAATAAAAATAATTGCTTAAAAGTCACCTTTGGATTGTTTCAAAACAGAAAAGTTTTACTTGCATTTAATGTAAATTTAATCTAATTTACTATTTGTGGACGGGGTGGCCGAATGGGCTAAAGCGTATGCACTGCACCGCCGTTGCCCGGCAACCTGACATATGAATTCAAAGATATAAAAATTGTCACGAGTTCGCGTCCCGGTGCCGGGGGAATCTTTTAAATCCCCGCCCACACCCCCTGGCCCGGGAAAATCCCGTATAGCCTTAACGGCGAGGAAGGGAAGGACCCAAAAAAAAAAAAAATAAAATAAAAAAAAATCTAATTGACTATGAAGTAATTGGTTATAGCCTAAATTAAACGTTTTTTAGTTACTGCTTTTTAACATAAACGGAGATTGGCTTAAAAATTACAAAATGTAAGTTTCCTGGTTCTCTTTATCTAATCAGACCAGATGGATTATGGTAACTTTGTATAAGTTTTAATTTCTTCTGTCACATATTATAAATTATATGAAATTAATTTCAATCTAAACTTCATATCATTATCACAAAATTTCCCATTGATTCATATCGAATATAATTATGTTGTTAATGACTTTTAAAAATCGTTAAAAAGAAAGTTTGATTGAAAATTTTAAAAAATAATTAAACTTCAAAAAGGTATCGTCTACTATGAAAAACATCAATTTCGTGATTGGAGCAATTTTTGCTTAAAGTGGAAATGCAATAAATATGATCTCGTAAATATCTCCGTGACCATTGATTTTATTAAAAAATGTATACAATTTTTTTTATGGGGATTTCAAAG